TGGTAGTTTCGAACCGCTGACCTTAAGGTTCGCAGCCCGATTTGTAACCACTATGCTACCACAGCTCCGTGGTTATTGTTGTTGTTAAGTGCCGTCAAGTCAGATCCAACCCATAGTGACTCTATACAGGGTTTCTGAGCAGCAACTGCTGAGCTTGAACCACCGACCTTGCAGTTCAAATGGCTTTGCAGTCTGGCGCATTAACCCACAGTGCCACACCAGGATCTCCATGGTAGGAGGGGGGTTAAAGAAGTGGCTTGGTCCAGTGCAGTCCACTGTCTTGCAGGTTGAGGTGGTGACAACCCTTAAGGGTTTTGGTGCTTGGGGCCAACCCATGCACATGGATACATGGAGATGTCCACTTTACAGAGGCAAGAGACCATAGATAAGGAGACCACTGGGGGGAAGCATTTGAGCTACTCCAGAATGCAACTTGTCCATACCAGCACTTCCAACAGGAACCAGAGCAAAGGGCCTGTATGCTTGTTGTGGATGCTTGTCACCAACTTCAGTTTTGCATTTAGGGTCAGATATTCAAAGCAGCTAAATTCTGTGTGATTCTTTTGAAGTAACTAATACTTTCATCTCTTCATAAAAGAAGCATTGTGCCTTTCACCATGTACACTGAGTGCAAAATGTTGGTGTTTTGAACTTTGGGAAATGTACCTATGTGAGGGGGCTTCAAAAATTCATGGAAAAATGGAATGAAAAGATAATGGAATTTTTGCATGAACTTTCTGAAGCTCTCTCATATGTTGTTAGTTGTCATCGAGTCGATTCTGACTCATGACAACCCCATGTGTGCAGAGTAGGACTGCTCCTTAGGATTTTCAAGGCTGGGATCTTTTAAAAACAGATTACCAAGTGGGGGTGTGTGAGGGGAGGAAGGGGAAGGTGGATCACGAAGCAGGGAATAGACACAGGATAGTCTGGGTGCTGGGGAGAGGGGCAATATATAAGAAGAGGAAGGGGAATGGGAGAACAAAGCAGAAGGGAAAACAGTTAGGCAAGTTTGCATGGGCTAAGTGGGACAGAGGTAAAGAATGATGTATGCACAACCTTGAAACAACAGGGCTCTGGGATACAGGGATTGAGACATGGTTGGAATGGAGAAAAAGGGGAAATAATGTTAAGATGCTTGGCTGTCTTTTGAATCTTGGTTTCCCTGGCATACCATTATAAAATAGACACTTGAGGGGGAGAAAAAGGAATAGCCAGAAATATCACCATAGAAAGCTTGTAAATCTGTCTTCTGCCTATAACTGACTGGAATACCTAAAATGGGGCTATTATATGCCCAGGGAAGGAGGCTTCCTGCATAGCTTCTGCATTACGTAAGACTATAGGTGGAAGCCTAAACAGCATCCAGAATCTTCAGAGGTGGGAAATTTCCACTTGAAAGGACAGACCAGCCTGGAGCGGCTAGAAGAACAGAAGATACTTCTTGAAAGAAAGACTGACAGGAAAATTACAAAACAATAGAGGCAGACTGACTGACTACTACAAGAACAAGCAAGATGCTCGCATAGGAGACATCAAGGCAAGTGGTCGGGTCCCCTCAGAGCAAACCCCCTTCCAAGACTAAGACTCAATGGGAATGCATGCTATGATTGATGACCACATTCAACACTGATAAGGGGAAGTGAGGAAAAAACAGCAATGAAGCTGCAAGCTAAGCCCTACAACATTCAATAGACTCCTGGGAACCCTGGTGGACACCTGGTTGGCCAGCAGTGTGGCAAGACCTGGGGATTCGTTGGCCCAGAGTCAGTGACATAGCCACAGAGGACTAGAGTGGAGAGTGAAATGTCCAGCTGTTAAGAAGAGAGGGCACATCACCAATGGGGGGAAGTGGGGTAACAGCAGCAATGAAGCGGCAAGCTAAGCCCTACAATGTTCAGTGGACTTCTGTGGACCCAGTTGGGGATCTGGTTGGCAAGCAGTGTGAAGAGGCCTGGGGACTCTTGGGCCCAGAGTCAGTGGCGTGGCCACGGAGGACTCGAGAGGAGAGTGGAGCTACCGGCTGACGGGAAGAGAAGACAAATGCACAGGAGTGCCCACACTTGCAGATGATACCCACGTGACCTGGACTGGATGACTGGATGATTGGAGCTCAACCAGGAGAAGAAAGAAGAGGGGAAAAAGAAAAAAAAAAAAAAAAGAGTGAGCTGATGCAGTCTGATGAACTTGACCTATACCTGTGGAGCAGCGACTCAAAAGAAGGAACAAATCCTCACAGCGAGAAACATTCACACACACCCCCACACACAGAGTGGATGGAGAAGGGCAGCTTGGACATTGGATACTCAAATGGGAAGGGGGAGACTACAAAGGCAAGAAGTGACTGGCTTACAAGCTTTCAAGAGGGAACCTGGTGCTAGGGAGCATGGCGGAAGGCAGAATCTCCAGTAGGTACTATTCATTCTGTCTGCGCGGAGCTGATGAAAGGAGATATAGGTGGGTAACTCGTGATACTGTAGTGAATAATGCTTGTCGGGACAGATTATGAGGGTTGGAAATGCAGAGGTGGAGGTTTTGTAGCAAGGAAGGGAGTGATTAATTCTCCAGGATAGGAGCGGAGGCCTCTGGGACCATCAACGGAGAAGAGCCGAGAGCGGGACCCTACCCAGAGAAACAATGATGCCTGAGATAGAGACAGAGATGATGACGTGGAGTGATGAAGCGACTGGGGACTTCGGACCCAGAGAGGGAAAGGGACTGTGGGCCGAAAACTGGGGGGAGGAGGGGCAAGTGTTGGGGGCGGGTTTCTGGGATATACCCTTTGGGTGGTTGATGATGCATGGAGGGGATTGGAACCATGGCAGTGAGATGATATACGATGGAATGAATGTAAAACTAAAGTTCTCCCATGTAAACTATCATATAATTTACAATAAAACATTAAAAAAAAAGAAGAGAGGGCATATGCATAAGAACACCCACACACTTGTAGATAATACCCACTTGACCTGGCTTCAATGACTAGATGATCAGAGCTCAACTAGAAGAAGAAATAAGAGGAAAAAAAGAGTAATCTGACACAATTTGATGAACTTGACCTACACCTATGGATGCAGTAGCTCAAAAGATGTAACAAATCTTTATAGCAAGGATCATTCCCACCCCCTCCATACACATAGTAGACAGGGATGGGCCACTTGGACATTGGCTTATCCAAAGTGGGGGGGCTACAAAGGCAAGAAGTGACTGGCTTACAAGCTTTCAAGAGGGAACCTAGATCCAGAGGGTGTGGAGGAAAGTAGAGTCTCCACTGAGTAGTATCCAATCTGTCTAGGCAGGGCTGGTGAAAGGAAATGCGAATCAGTCTCTTGTGATACAATAGTGAATAATTGTTATCAGGACTGATTGTGAGGGTTGGAAATGTAAAGGTAGATGTTTTGTAGCAAGGAGGGGAGTGACTGGCTTTGCAGTCTAGGAGCTGAGGTCCCTGGGACCATCAAGGGAGAAGAGCAGAGAGCCGGACCCTACCCAGAGAAGCAGTGACGCCAGAGATGGAGGCAGGGATGATGATGTGGAGAGATGGAGCACCTGGGGACTTTAGAACCAGAGAGGGGCTGTGTGTTGACAACTGGGGGGCAGGCTTGTAGGGTATACCCTTTAGTTGGGTGATGATGCATGGAGGGGATTGTAACCATGGCAATGAAACGATACACGATAGGATAAATGTAAAACTAATGTTTCACATAATTCACAATAAAACATTAAAAAACAAACAAACAAACAACAGATTACCAGGCCTGTCTTTCAAGGTGCCTCTGGGTAAGTTTGAACTGCCAATCTTTTGGCTACCAGATAAATCCTTAACCTTTGCATTACCCAGGGTCGCCTATATAGAGAGAAAAATGAGGGGGCTTCAAAAAGTTTGTGGAAAAATGGAATGACAAAGTAATGGAATTTCCCCGAACTCTTTGAAGATCTCTCATGTATATTGTACATGCACTAACGTGTCTGCACACATGTGTACATTGTGTGTCTGTTTCCATAGAACTACAGCAATGCTACATTTAGCATTGTGTTTGACAGGAGGCCCCGTGCCAGGGCGGCACTTGGCTGGCTGGGACAATCTCACACCTGGTGGCAAGAGCTTCATCTGCTCACCCTGGTAGCAGCGAGCTGCTCAGCTCTGTCGCCAGCTCCCATGAGGGAAGTCCCGGACCATTTGTTTCCCCCAGGGCCACTGCAGAAGTATTCTAAAGGATCCGCCGCTTTTTGAAATGGAATTATATCATTAGTACCTGCTGGGATTAATGCTGACATTGGGTTTATCCATCCTTACATCACCTCTTCTTGTTCAAAGGCTGAGGGGTGATCTGACGAGCCCACCCATGCGCCTAGCCCGGGCTGCAGGTTTTGTTCTGTGTGTGCATATGTGTGTGCTTTTCTATGAGTGTGCCTACAAGTGCACGCATATGAGTACGTGTGTGCATGTTTATATGCACAGTGTGGGGTTGAGAAGCAGGAACGAATTTAAACTACCGAGGAACCTTTCAAACTCCTCTGCTGGTCCCAGCACCCTGTCTGCTGTCCTGGATCACTTGATCCTGGCTGTAATGTAATAAGTTTGGAGGGACCTGGTTCTTCAGGCCCTGGGCCCACCTGTGGTAGGGCTGGTTGGGCACGGGTGGGCTCCCTGGCCTTGCCTTTGTGGCAGTCCTGCCCCATCACCCACTCACTGTTAAGTGTCCCCAGCCTCCACCCTGGCCCAGAAGGTCCAGAGTGACCCACAGTTAGGTCACCCCTGTGCTCTGCTGACTGGACCTCGCTCAGGAGGACACATGCTGGTAAGCCCCACTTGTGGGCTGCGCCACTGGAGCCTCTGGAAAGTGGGCTCGGTACCTGTTTGTAGCCCCTCATCCAGCTGCAGGGCCTGGTGTGTGAGTCCACTCAAGCCAGACCTGGCCCCCACTTCCACCCTGACGGCTGTGTGAGCTGTTGTGAACCTCATGCACAGACTCACTTGGCTTTCTCTCTGTCCGCAGGTTGGTGGTCGGCGGCAGCTGTATCCTTTGTTAGCGTGGAGGTGACAGGCTGGGTCCATCCCCCACTGCCCACCCCCACCACCTCTCACTGCTGTAGGGCGTGTGCTTTGCTACCCGAACCCCAGCACTTAGGGGCCACTCAGGGTGGTGACCTCTGCTCTGAGACCACTCGAGGCTGACCTTCTGCAGCAGGAGCTTCCTTGAGGCACCTCCAGAGCCTGCCCGGAGCAGCTGGAAGTGGACCTCATCCAGCAGAGCAAGCAACAGCCAGCTGGGGTCAGGGGAGAGGACCTGGGAAGATGAAAGCATTGGCTGACACAGACTGAGGGCGGCTGTCTCGTATCTGTCAGAGACGTAGCTCTTCTTCCCCAGAGCCCCAGCCGGCAGCTTTCTGTCGCCACAGGGACCCTGGTGAAGTGAAACACAAGTCCAGCTTCTCTGTGGGGCTGGAGGGAACACCCTCTGCTTGGTCTGGCAAAGATGCTGTCCCCAGGACCAGCACAAGAAGGGGCTGAGTGTGGCGCCTCTTCATCTCATCTTGCCCTGGGAGCCTCGTCCTAGGGCTGAGGCTGGGAACCAGTGGGGTGCGTGTGAGCCCCTGTGGCTTCATGACCTCATTCCCACTGCCGTTGACTTGATTCTGACACAGAGCAGCTCTACACCAGTGAACTGCCCCGTAGAGTTTCTCAGGTCATCAGTCTTTAAGAAGCAGACAGCTTCATCTTCTCCCTGAGGAGTAGCTGGTGGATTTGAACTGCCAACTCTTTGTGTTGCAGTTGAGTACTTTAACCAGTATGCTGCTGATCCAAAACAAACCCACTGCTATTGTGTTGCTCCCAGCTCATCAGGACTCTATAAGGTAGGGTAAAACTGCTCTAGGGTTTCCGAGGCTGTTAGTTTTTTCAGAAGCAGACTGCCTCCCCCTTCTCCCTCGGAACACCTGGTGGGTTCGAACTGCCAGCCTTTTTCAGTTACCAGTCCAACGCTTAACCCAATGTGTCACCAGGGCTCCTGTGACTCCATTCACCTTCCTTAACCTGCCACCTGCAGATGTTGCCCTGGAGTGTGCTGGCTTCCTTTCGGGTGTGGGCCTGGACACCACGGTGATGTTGCGCAGTATCCCCCTGCGGGGCTTTGACCAGGTAGTGCCACAGGGTCCCTGCCCCTGAACGTCCCCACCTCCACCCCTCCCGGCTCAGGTCTGAATCCTTAGGGATCGAACTGGAATTGAGCTAGATCCTGAACGAATTATCAGTGTGCACATGGAGCCGGAGTGCCAGGCCCAGCTTGCTAAACTGGCCACGTGTGGCTCCAGCAGAGGTGGCAGGCCTGGTGGCAGAGGCAGTACCCCTACTGTGGGGCTCCCTGTCTCCCAGCTCCCTCCTTGCTGAGCCTCTTTGGTGTCTAGATGGATGGACCTGAATCCAGAGAGAACTGTCACAACCACCAGGGATGGAGCAGACGTCCCCTGAGCAGCAAACATAGCTAGTTGGTCAGGCCATTTGTGATGGTGCTGTCCTACAACATGTCCCCCCGAATCCCAAAACCAAGCCTACTGCCATTGAGTTGATTCTGACTCTCAGTGACCCTAAGGACAGAGGAGAACTACTCCTTAGGGTTTCCAGGGCTATAAGTCTTTATGGACCCAGGCAACCTCATCTTTCTCCCCTGGAGTGGCTAGTAGGTTCAAACCACCAACCTGTAGTTAGAAGCTCAACACTTAACCCACTGTATCACCAACACTCCTTTCAGAGCCCCAGAAACTATCAGAAAGGGAGACTTTCCTCCCAAGTTGGGAGGCCCTGGCCCACGACACAGTCCTCCCTGGGCCAGCCATTTGCCCCTCCAGCTAGGCCACCCTGTACCATCCTTCACCTAGAGACTCATCCACCATGTTACCGGGTGCCCACCATGGACCACAGTGATCCAGGGGAAGCATCTGAGCCTCGTAACAACAGTGAGAACATTGGACAGGAAGCCAGAAACAGTGGGGAGGTCACACAGCTGAGGGGGACAAGACCCAAGATATTAGGCTGGGAACTCTGGGAAGACACCGCCATTTGAATGAGGACAAAGCTGGAGGTCTGTAAGGTTCAAGTCCCCAGATGTGAGGGAGGAGTGGGTCTTCTATGGCATGAGGGTGTGTGTGGGCAGCAGGAGCCACGGGGACTTGTCAGGGGTCTAAGGCTATGCTGACAGGTCTGAGGAAGGTCCTTGTCTCTGAACCTTCTGTTCTGTGACTCCTTGGTGATCTTCACCTGACATGGTATCTCTCTTCTCCCATTTCTCCTTGTTCTTCTATCCTAATCTGTCTCTATAGCTCTGAGATGATGGGCTTGAAACCCACCCTACATAGCACAGAAACCCAGTACCAAGGGGATTTCAACTGCAAGAGGGTTAGGGTTGCTCGGGAGAATCTGGAGTTCGACTGCATTGATGTGTCTCCCAGCTTCCATCTGAGCCCAGGGGGTTGAGAGTGATCCTGCGGTGATCCTGGGACTCCGGAGAGCCAGGCCTCTCCGAACTCAGTGGATTGAGCAGCCAAGGCTGAAGGCACCAAGGTGCTGGTGACCCATGGGTGGGCTGTACCCTGTGGAGTTTCCAGGACTGAGTTGGGAGAGGAGAGGACAGGGTCAAAATGTGCCCCCAGGGGAGTGTATAGCCATATCAGATAGCACATGGGACAGGGCTTCAGGGAAGTGGTGTATCTGTCTCATGGGGCAAGGAGGACAGGTCCAGGATTGCTGGACTGGCCATGTGGCCCAACCGTTTCCCTTCAGAGTAGGGCTCGTATGTAGAAGGACAAGCAGCCCCAGGACAAGGGGCAGTGCATGCCAGGGCCTGGCCTTTGCTGAGGGAGACCACCTGGCCCTTCATCCCAGACACAGGCTCTCCCCACACTGCCAGGAAGGAGCTGGCACACCTGTGCAAATGTCAGGTGTTTGCTTCTGAGAGGACTTAACACAGTAACTGTTTATTTTCTCTTGAAAGAAGAGGCAGTGGGCCAATCATGCCTCCAGCTTGCTGCAGGCAGACATCTGCTCCCATGAGCCTCCCACCTGACTCAGCCCCCACTACAGCCGGGTACACACCCACCCTCCAAGACCGGGAAGGAGAGCAGGCGGTCTCTCCACAGATGACCCTCCCACCCCCACCTCATGTGAGGGCAGAGGAAGCAGTCTTGCCACAAGAACGGGTGCTTGGTGACAACACTGGATAAGCAGGGTCAGTTGGGTGGGGGAATGAGGAGGGGTGGCCTGGGAGCACGGCAAAGGAAACAAGGTGCTTCTCTTTGCCCACAATGCCATGGAAGAAGTCCAGTCAGAGCACTCCTTACCTTAGAATCAATGGCAAGACTTCATCTTACATACTTCAGACATGTTGTCAGGAGGAACACAGTCCCTGGAGAAGGGCATCATGCTTGGCAAAGTAGAGGGTCACAGAAACAAAGAAAAAGATCCTCTTTTTTGAGATGGACTGACATATTGGCAGCAGCAATGTGCTCAAACATACCAACAATTGTGTGAGACTAGGCAGTGTTTCATCCTGTTGTACATAGGGGTGCTATGAGTTAGAACCAACTCCACAGCACATCACAACAACAACAAAATGAAATGGCATCTAGAGAACAGCCGAAGGCCATGTGTCTCAGTTCTCTAATGAGGTTATAACAGAAATACCACAAGTGGGTGACTTCAACAAACAGAAATTTATTTTTTCACAGGTAGGAGGCTAGAACTCAGAATTCAGGTGCTGGCTCTAGGAGAAGAGTCCCTCTCTCTGTGGGCAGCTCCTTATCTGCTCAGCTCCTCTTCCTTGGCTTGTTGATGATGATATGATGTGGCTTCGCTCTTCCCCATCTCTCCTTGCTTCTCCATCTTAATTTGCTCTTTTTATAGCTCTAAGTAGGTGTCAGTTTGTCATACTGTAGTGCTTTGTGTGTTTCTGTGATTCTGGAAGCTATGCCACCAGCAGGGTCACCTATGGTGGGCAGGTTTCACATGAGCTTCCAGACTAAGACAGACTAGGAAGAAAGGGAGACAGACTACTTCCAAATATTTAGTCACTGAAAACCGTATGAGTAGCAGTGGAACACTGTCAGCACCAGAATATTGAATTCTGAAACATGATGAAGAGCACCAGAATATTGTCAGATATAGTGCCAGAGGATGAGTTCCTCAGGTTGGGAGGCACGCAAAATATGACTGGGGAAGAGCTGCCTCCTCAAAGTAGAGTTGACTGTGATGACATGAATGGAGTAAGCTTTGGGACCTTCATTTGTTGATGGGGTACAACTCGCAATGAGGAGAAACAACTGTAAACATCCATTAATCAGAACATGGAATGTACAGAGTATGAATCTGGCAAAATTGGAAGCTGTGAAAAATGAAATGGAATGCATAAACATCAATATACTAGGCATGAGTGAGCTGAAATGGACTGATACTGACCATTTTGAATCTGACAATCACATGGTTTACTATGCTGGGAATGACAAACTGAAGAAGAATGGTGTCACATTCATCATCATAAAGAACATTTCAAGATCTATCTTGAAGTACAATGCTGTCTGTGATAGGATAATATGCATATGTTTACAAGAAAGACCAGTTAATACCACTATTACTCAAATTTATCCACCAACCACTAAAGCCAGGGATGATGAAATTGATGAATTCTACTAATGTCTTCTGTTTGAAATTGATCAAACATGCAATCAAGATATATTGGTGATTGGAATGCAAATGTTGGAAACAAAGAGGATGGAAAATATGGCCTTGGTGATAGAAACAATGCTGGAGATCGCATGATAGAATTTTGCAAGACTTGTTTATTGCAAATACCTTTTTTAGACAACATAAAAGATGATTATTCACATGGACTTCATCAAATTGACTACATCTGTGGAAAGAGACTGTTGAAAAGCTTCATATTAAAAGCCAAAACAAGACCAGGGGCAGGCTCTGGAAGAGACCGCCAATTGCTCATATGCAAGTTCAGGTTGAAGCTGAAGAAAATTTTAAAAAGTCCAAAAGAGCCAAAATATAACCTGAATGTATCCTACCTGAATTTAGAGATCATCTCAAGAATGAGCGAAGACCAAAAGAGCCGTGGGAGGAACATCATGCAAGAAGAAAAGCAAGAGGTTATTAAGAAAGAAACAAAAGACCAAAATGGATGTCAGAGAGACTCTGGAACTTGCTCTCCAGTGTAGAGATGTTAAAGCAAATGGAAGAAATGAGGAGGTAAAAGAGCTGAACAGAAAATACAAAGGGCAACTCAAGAAGACAAAGTCAAATATTATAATGAAATGTGCAAAGAACTGGAATTAGAGAACCAAAAGGGAAGAACATGCTCAGCATTTCTCAAGCTAAAAGAACTGAGGGAAAAATTCAAGCCTCAACTTGGAACACTGGAGGATTCTTTAGGTGAAATTTTGAATGATGCAGAAAGCATTAAAAGAAAAAGGAAGGCATACACAGAGTCACTGTACCAAAAAGAAATGGTCCACATTCAACCATTTCAAGAGGTAGCATATGATCAAGAGCCAGTGGTACTGAAGAAAGAAATCCATGGTGCAATGAAGATATTGACAAAGAACAAGACTCCAGAAATTGATGGAATACAAATCGAAATATTTCAACAAACTGAGGCAGCACTGGAGGCACTTATTCAATTACGTCAAGGAATTTGGAAGACAGCTACCTGGCCACCTGATTGGAAGAGATACATATCTGTCTGTGCCCTTTCCAAAAAGAGGTGACCCAAGGGAATGCAGAAATCATCGGACAATATCAATATCCCATTCAAGTAAAATTTTCCTTAAAATAATTTAAAAATGGCCACAATATTATTACATTGACAGGGAACGCCAGGGGTTCAAGCTGGATTCAGATGTGGACATGGAACGAGGGATATCATTGCTGACATCAGATGGATCTTGACTGAAAGCAGAGAATACCAGAAAGATGTTATCTGTGCTTTATTGACTATGCAGAGGCTTTTGACTGTGTAGATCATGACAAGCTTTGGACCACATTGAGGAGTATGAGTATTACAAAACACTGAATTGTGCTCTTGAGGAATTTGTAGATAGACCAAGAGGCAGTCTTTCAACAGAATTAGGGGACACTGGTTTAAAATCAGGAAAGGTGTACACTATGGTTGTATTTTACTGTATTTATTCAATCTGTATGCTGAGCAAATAATTCAAGAAGCTGGATTATATGAGGAAGAACGTGACATCAGAATTGGAGGTAGACTCATTAACACCCTACAATATGCAGATGATACCTTGCTTGCTGAAAATGAAGAGGACTTAAAAATACTTATTGATGAAGATCAAAGACCACAGCCTTTGATATGGATTGCATCTCACTGTAAAGTAAAGAAAAATCCTTACCACTGAAGCAATAAGTAACATCATGATAAATGGAGAAAAGGTTGAACTTGTCAGAGACTTCATTTTGTTTGAATCCACCATCAACACTCATGGAAACAACAATCAAGAAATCAAATGACATTGCATTAGGCAAATCTAAACAAGACCAATTTAAAGTGGTCAAGAGCAAAGATGTCAGTTTGAGGACTAAAATGCGTCTACCCAACCCATGTTTTTTTCAGTAGCCTCATATGCATGTAAAAGTTGATCAGTGAACTAAGGAAGACCATAAAAGAATTGATGCATTTGAGTTATGGTGTTGGAGAAGAATATTAAAGGTACCATGAGGCCAGGATGGTTAGACTTCATCTCTCATACTTTGTACATATTGTCAGAAGGGACAAGTCCCTGGATAAGAATATTAGATATCATGGTAGGTAAAGTGGAAGATCAATGAAAAAGAGGAAGACCCCCCAACAAGATGGACTGGCACAGTGGCAGCAGCATTGGGCTCAAGCTTAACAGTGATTGTGAGGTTGGCACAGGTCTGGGCAGTGTTTTGTTCTATTGTATATAAGGTCGCTGTGAGTCGGGCTCGACTTGATAACACCTCACAACAACAAAGATGAAATACTCGTATGGCCTCTTAACGTAGAAAAGGAAACCCTACTGCCAAATGAGATTACAACCACAGGTATACCAATCCCATCACCATCAAGTCATTCCCAGTTATAGCCATCCTATCTAACAGAGTAGAATTGCCCCATGGGGTTTCCGAAGTCATCAATGTTTATGGAAGCAGGCATCTTCATTTTTCTCCCTTGGAGTGGTTGGTGGGTTTGAACCACCAACCTTTCAGTTAGCTGCCCAAGATATAAGACCACAGGTAGAGGGGTTTACAACACACATTTTAGGGGGGCACAATTCAGTCCATAATACCACATGAATTCTGACCAAAGGATCCAGGACTGTAGGCGTGGTGCTGCAAGGGACCAACTTCCATCTTTAAAAAGAAAGAAGGGGGCCCAGAAGGTAAGACATCCCAAGTGAGGGTCAGAGGGTAGTGGGCACCTTCTCTTTCTGACAGACTCCTTTCAGGCCCCAAGACCTCCTGCCCTGCCCTGCTCTCCCTGTCCAGCCTAGCTTTCTTGATGGCCGTTGGCCTGGCACCATGACATCAGGACACATCCTGTGAGTCTGCTCTGAGCTGTGTTCTTCTTTCCACTGTCCGTGTTGCAGGGAAGAGTCAGCCTGCAGTAGGGCCAGGGCCCCTCCTCTCCCCTCAGGGTTGTGGCAGCAAAGTGGTGTTCACACATGTTCTCTTGTCCTTGCAGCAAATGTCTTCCTTGGTCACGGAGCACATGGCATCTCACGGCATCCAGTTCCTAAGAGGCTGCACACCCTCGAGGGTCAGGAGACTCCCTGATGGCCGCCTCCAGGTGACCTGGGAGGACCGAGCTTCTGGCAACGAAGACTCAGGCACTTTCGATACCGTCCTGTGGGCCATTGGTAAGAGGCTGGGGGACCACAGTCCTTGGAAGGGCTCCTCATCTCCTTCCTTCTTTCCCTGCCGACTCCCAGGGGGTGAGTACCACACAGCACCCCTTGACACAGGACCCACACCTGACCCAGTCCCTCTTCCCATCTGAGTGCCAGCACCATCTGACCTTGTTCTGAACATCATGGAGGTCTCAGGGTGGGAAGCAGCTCGATCGTCCGTATTCAGAAGACTAATTGGTCTTCCTGATGCTGTGTCCCTGAGATAGATAACTTATGTGGGTCCTGCCACACAAGTCCTATGGATTACTTACGAGGCTTAGCCCACCACTGTTGAGTCGATTCCAAGTCTTAGTGAGTCTACAGGAGGCTGTCAGTCTTTGTGGAAGATAGCCTCATCTTTGAAGTGCCAGCCTGGTAGCTAGCAGCCCAACACTTAACCTATTTGGTTCAGCCTGGTTCTATTTCTTCTTTAGCAAAGAAACTGTTTCCCATAGTAGTTTCAAGCTAGCTACTGTTAACACCTGTTAATAACAGATCCAAATTTTGTTTGTTTGAAGCAGCATTCTTACAGTTCTCAGTACTTTTCTGTGGCTGGCTCTAGGCCCTCGGGGATCATCCTGTGTTAGGAGGGGTTCTGATGGCATTATGCATGGTCACACCTTTAGGTTTCTGAAGACATTGCTGTCAAGTGACAGTACCTAGAGGTCTGAGGGCCTTCAGGCCTAGTGGCTGGAATTGGCAGCTTTCTGGCTCCTGGGGGCTTTGTTTGAATTTTCACCCTCATGTTTTCTGAGACCCACTGCAGCATGTATGGCTGTGATAACCCCTTCAATAGGCAAGGGTAGTGGCATCGTCAGAGGTGTTGTTCCTAGACCGGGCCCTTCCTGCATCCCCAACACCCCTTGAGCCTGTACCCTGGCCTGCTGGCCCTGTCTTGAGAAAAGTAGAGAGCATAGCACAGACACAGAGAACCTGCCCGGACTATGTGGGGCAGCCTGAGACTGGTCCATGGGGAGAGTGCAGATCCCATCTCAAAGAGGGGAGCCAGATGCCATCCCCACTCTGCACCTGCTGTGCAGCCAGGGTGCAGGCATCCTCGTTGATGGTGGTGGTACAGTGGTATGGCGCAGTACATGTGCTCAGAAGTCTCCAACAGCCTCACTACCTGTGGCTCGTGTGGGTTATGGGTTGGGCTGCTGACACCAGTTCGAATCCACCAGTTGCTCCTCGGGAGACAGCTGAAATTTTCTGCTCCTACAGAGATTTACAGCCTCAGAAACCCTATACAGATCACACAGCACACAACAACAACATCCTGTCAACTTATAATTGAAACTAAGAGCCGCAGAGTTCTGGCTTCTTTGATGCCCTGGGAGCAGCTGGGTCAGGTACTTTCTGCTCCCAGCCACACATGGGGCTATCATTGCTTGTCACTACTTGGCCAGCCCTGCACCCCGGGGTGGGGCGTTGTGATAAAGCTGTGCCACCACACAGTGCTTCTCTGGAAAAGCGAGTCTCTCTTCCTTGAGTTGCTGGGAATGAGTGGGGAATTAGAAATGGGAGCAGATGCCAGGGCAGACTGGACAAGCTGAGGGGCCCTGCAGGGAATTTTGTGCATTTTGACCTAAAGTTGACAAGTTATCAAAAGAAATACTCTGGGTCAAAAGTACACCTGAAGGGGTTTTGTTAGGATAAACAGGAGTCCTGGTGGTACAGTGGGTTAAGCATTGGGCTGCTCACCACAAGATCACCAGTTTGAACCCACCAGCCACTCCAGGGAAGAAAGATGAGGCCTCTATTCCATTAAAGATTCTACTCTGTTCTTTAGGATTGCTATGAGTTGGCATCAGCTTGAAGGTGGTGGGTTTGGATTGGAGTTATGATCCATACTATGAAAAAGTATGTAGCTCTTTGGACCTTTGTTCCTTTAACTCTATTCCAAATGGTGGGGTGACAGGGCAGCCCCATGTTCTAGTGACGTTGCTCCACACCCTACCCACCCACCATGATGACTGCTGCTCAGGGGACAGGGAGCTAAATGGATAGGATGCCTCAGCATGCCCCCCAGGCCCCTGCAGATAGTATTGCTGTGGCCTGGATACCCCGCTCCCACCCCTGCTCCCTGGGAGTCTGTCAGATTTTTTTGTATTTAAAAAAAAAACGTATCCCCTAGACAGCCTGCCCAGCGTGATTTATGCTGTGGGTGGGGGAAGCTCTCCAAGCCCTTGGCCTCTGACCCTGGCTCACAGCGGGCGGCGGTGGTTTTGGCACGCCTGCTGGGGCTGCTTGGGCATGTGCTGACTCTGCCGTTGGCTTCCGGGCTAGAGTTTTGTAAACATTCAGCAGCCACTTCCCAGCTGAGGAACCGGGACTGTTTTCTGCTGGCTAAATGGATAAGCCTTTAAACCCAAATCAAACCACCACCATTGAGTCAATTACAACCCATAATGACCCCTGTAGGACAGTATAGACCTGCTCCTTGGGGCTTTCAAGGCTGTAAATCTATAGGGGAGCAGACAGCCTCGTTTTTCGCCCTTGGAGCATCTGGTGGATTCAAACCTCCAAACTTTCAATTAGCAGCCCAACACTTAACCATGAGGCCTGGGTCTAATCAGGCTCACGAGGCTGAAAAGGCTAGCAGAGCTACTGCCTCTTCAAGCTTGATTTTTCTCTTCTTTAAAATGGGTCTACTATGAAAGTTGTTATTGTGAAGTGTTGTTGAGGCCATTTCACCTCATAGTGACCACATGTGACAGTACAACTGCCCATAGGATTCTTAAGGCTACTTCTTACATGAGCAGACTGCCTCATCTTTCGCATGAGGAATGGCTGGTGGGATTGAACCACCGACTTTTAGATGAGTTGTTATGGTTCCAAGTCATAGAGACCCTGTATAGGGTTTCTGAAGCTTTAAAATCTCTACAGAAGCAGAAAGTTTCATCTTTCTCCTGTGGAACTGCTGGCAGTCTTGAATGGTGAACCTGTGATTCTCAGTCTAGTGTTTATCGTATGGGCCACCGTGCTTCCTGAGATGAGTAGCCCCACACTTAACCCAGTACACCACCAGCTGTTTGTTGTGGCTGTTTGAATTGGTTCTGAGTGACCCTGTGTAGGGTTTCTGAGGAGTGGCTGGTGGATTTGAACTGTTAACCTTGTGTTTAGCAGTACAATGCTTATCCTACAGCACCACACCCATCACTTCTACTTGCAATTAAGGATGATGTCTCCCAAGGTTAAATCTGATGCTATCAGATGCCGCACAGTTGGCATCTAGAATGAGTCCTCTGTCTGTGCAAGGGAGGTGAGCTGCCAGTTGAGCTGGTTCGTTAACATACGCTTTAAACATAAAGGGAAGGAGTCCTGCACAACCCCCACCCCCAAGCAGAAGTACCCAGGGCGGGGATGTACGTATGTATGTGTGTGTGTGTGTGTGTGTGTTGCAGCGTCATCCCGGTCTACTCCAGGCCTGCAGCACCCTCACTGCCCACGTGGCCCCACAGAGTGGTCCTGGCTACTGGACCGAAGACAGGGAGTGGGAGGATCAGGAGTGAGACCCCCGAGTCCTCTCACACAGCCTTGATCTCCATGCAGGGGGATTAATCACATGAGCCAGTAAGGCCGTTAATTGCTGCGCAGGGGGCCCGCTCATTGTTTGCCTCTGAATCACCCACCCACACCAGGTGTCTCAGATAATAGACTGGGAACCCGCCTCACGGAGGATTTCCTGTCTGCAGATGTGCCGATTAGAGCGCTGAGTGAAGACAGTCAGCCTGCGCCGGTCTCCGATTTGCTCTGTGCAGTTAACCAGTTGTGGCCTGAACACACTGGCTGTCTGTGGACCAGGATGGGGCCTTGGCATCAATGCCTTTTTATGTAAACAATTCTGAGCTTATGCCTGGTGATGCTTCAATTTTCTGTCAATTTTTTGGTATAGAACAACCAGAGTGATGCCATCAGATCAAAGCCTTGGTGAAAAGGGAAGAGTGGAAACTGCCACGTGCCCTCAGCAGCCCGGAGCCCTCTAGACAGTTCTCTGTCCCTGCCCCCTGAGTAGTGATGAAGGCTCTGCTGTGTCCATCTCTGGGCCTTCTAAGAGCTAGCTGGTGGCCCTTGAGGGGTCCTGGCTATTGTTGGAAGAAGCAGTGTGGGGAGAACACCATGATTTATCATGGGATCCTACAGTCCAAGTAGCTGTGTCCATCTGGATGCTGGGGAAGGTTCTTGCTGTGGTCACTGGAAGAAGTGCTATTGTCACCTGTTTGTGTAAAAGCCCATAGTTCATTCATTTCTGGACATGTCATGTGCCCTGGCTCCCCAGGCTGTAGTCTCAGACCTTTTTTCCAGCCACAACCCCGAGCCCCCTCCACGGCCTGCTCACCCTGACATGCTTCCTTGGGAACCACAGCCAGGTGAGGCGAATGGTGCCCAGGGTCTGTATGCCAGACCCACCCCCAAGCCCTCAGCACCCAGGGACCCTTGTCTGCCCCTCCTTGAGCAGCCTCGTGAGTCAGCTGTGGTCACTTGAATGGCTCTGCCACACCACAGACACATCCCTGTGGAGTTCCCTTACCAGCTGCTGTGCTAGTGAGCCCATCCTGACAGCAGGAGAGGCCGTAGCTGTCCAGAGCTGAGTCCAGTGATGGAGGAGCAGCCACACAGGACCCCTGTGGATTTAGCCTGGTTGGGAGCCCCTCTAGGTCCGTTCTTCAGAGTCTTGGCCCAGCTGTGATACAGGAAGTTTGTGTCTAGTGTGTTCTTCCTGTGGAGGTCCATAGTTGCTTGCTATGATGGCCTCACCCAGCACATTAGGCACCTGTTCTCATGGTGTACTGTCTCACCAAGGTGCCACTTTGCTTCAGGACATGGGCCATTAGCGCTTCACAGAGTCTTAGTACAGACTCGGAGATGATGATGGTGGATATGAAAGAGGCCAGGGTCTGCTTGGGAAGTGTTGCCAAGGAAGACAACACATGTGTGGGAGGTGAGCCTACAGTGCTGAGGCCATACCA